TGATATTTCTTTCACATTGCATCCTCTGCACATTTCATGGCTAACCAAATGGTTTTTTCTCTGCAGAAAAATAAGCATAGGATAAGATTGGAAATGACATCCTGGTTCACTAAATTTTTTCATGGTAGACAATAGAGGAGAGGTCACCTAGTGTCCTATATTCCATTTTTATGTTGCTGTCTTTGTGTATATAAAAGGGTTAAAGCTGGAATAATTAAAGACCTCTCCCTTGGAGATTCTCCTTGCTATTTACACACGGTATTTTTTTCAACAGGTCTGAAATCTCTGTGTTTTTTGTGTTACAGATATAGATAACACTGATCAATGATATTAAGACCTCAGACCTTTTTATCTTTGGCCTTTTGTCTTTTTTGGCTTTGCTTTTGCAGGCCAGTTGGATCCAATCTGCCAATTAACTGTTTTTGATCTTTGTGTCCATTTAATCAATAAACATTGTATTTTTGCTAGCTGCACTGAGGGTTGTGTGTGCTTGCTCTGTTCTGGATAACGAGGTTGGCTGGGAGTGTGCTGGGTGCAAACTGAATAGGAAAGTTCCCACAGGAATTTTCCAGCAGATGATAGTGCTAATCAACTTTCTGAAGAAACCTAATTGCAGCTGAATCATTTCCATGGGTAAAATGGTTTCACAAACTTCCTCTACCTTTGGTATATATTCTGATATTTTGGTGTCAAACAAAAAATTGGTACCAACAACAAGTTGTCATTATTTGAACATTACTGCTGGAAGTGGCTTTGGGATTGCACCAATTAATTTGTGTAGGAGGATCTGTCTGTATTATTCCTATTTTTAATCCTGATTGCATTACTTTTGGACGCTTAATGACTGAAATTCACACCAGGTAGAATTTTATTTAGCTAAGTAAATATATTTAGTTTTTTTCTATGATATCTTTTGTTTTACCCAATATTAACCACAAGTCCTACTAGCAAATTGGGTGACCCTATAAAGCTAAAGTTAATGAATTAAGAAATGAATCTCTATGTCTGTGATATATTTAGTTGTAGTTTTATACCAATTTATTTTGCAGCTGTTTTATCTCTTAACGTCTGCACTTGATCAAAAGGAAAGGAAATGCATTGTTCAATAATAAATCCAATCTCAAAACAGAATAACTGGTTTCTACAATTTGCATCTCAGCTTCAGGCAAATGCAAGAGGGAACTCAAAAGGGCACCATTTCCATATAAAAATTGGTAATGGCCTCTCCTGTTGTTGGTGATATTCAAACGTCACCCGTACAAAGGTGAAATTTGCCTCCAAGCTACCTGCAGAATACAGCTATACAAAGAACAGCATAGCACCCTCCAGTCCTAATGTGTGATAGAGGGTAAGCTGGAGAGACAACAGATTTAGGATGACAGAAGTCTTCCCTGGCTTCAGGGCAGGAGGAAATTGTATGGCTAAAGCAACTGAGTCCTTTATAAGATAATTCTTATCGTTCTATTCCAAAGTTTCCAAATCCTCTTTATTTACATCAATTTTCTGTTTATTCTTGATTGGGTGCCTTTTAGTCTAGTTTCTCTCAATTTCTTTAATGCCCATTTTCACCTAAGGTTTATCCTGACACTTCCATATACAGGTAGCCCTCAACATACAACTGTAATTGAGCATCGCAATTACAATCATAGGTCATGTTTATTATACCGCGAGTCACCCCAGGACCAGATCCTTTTTGGAGGGCAGGTCATTAAGCAAATGCAGTGGTTGTTAAGCGAGTGCTGTGATCATTAAGCAAACCCATTAGGGACTCTTTTTTTGCTGGAAATTGGAAGTAAATGCTATGTTATAAACTGGACAATGTGTGGGGTGATGCAAATGGCAATAAATGCTGAGTGCAGTCACATGACTGTGGAGAGGAGGTCATAACTTTAAAATAGGGTTGTAAGTCCCGGGGGGGGGGTGTTCCACCATAACTTTAAATAGTCACTAAATGACCGGTCGCAAGCCAAGGACTATCTGTAATGCTGATACAAATGTAGGTTATTTTATGCCTTTTTTCCCCATCACTAATTCTCACAGTATTTCCTTATAGGTGGTCAAATCAATCATTCTTTTCAATTAATTTTCTTGTAATGTGTACATAGGAACTGAACTGTGCTTAAGTCAAGTATCTGAAGAAAACACCTTTTTCTAAATAAATACCATTCTAATTTATTTTTGGATCAATTATTTGTTTTGTACGCTCTCATTCTCAATTATTCATTTCTGTTGCTTTACAGAACATTTTTCCTCTATGGATTTCATTAATTCAGAATGTTGTAGTTCTTCACAAAACTCCTAGCTGAATAATTTTATACTCCACCAGATTAAACCACCTTCGCTCATAACTATGCCACCATTTCCCTTTTCCAAATACATCATATATCAATCTCTCGCATTTATTTCTCTGAAATTCCAAATTGTAAACTTCTATATGCCATGATTATGACCAGAAAGGAGCATCAATATAGATCCCCACTATCTATCATAGCTTTAATCAGTTGAGGTTTTCATATAATTCTGGAATTGAACTTTACATGCACTGGCTCTCTGCATCTATAAACTTGCTGATCACAAGAACTGACTAGCAATGCACTATTATTTCCTTTCCTTGTCTAACAGACTTTCTTTGTATATCTCTATGTAACTTGGTTAGAATGGCTTTCACCATTCTTTCTCACTTCTGTCTTTTTTCTTCTTCTTCTCTGATCTATGTAGGCCAAGTACTTTCCTGATTTGTTTGCTCTCCATATCAGAGAACCCAGTGCTTTTTTTGTTAAAAAAAAAAAAAAAAGGTGCCAGAACTCACACACGTCATACAACCCTTGCCTACCCTACAAGGTTCCATCCAAAAAAGGTGCCGGAACTCCGTTCTGGGCATTCTATGACCAAAAAAAAAAAAAAAGCCCTGAGAGAACCCAAGCTCTTAGCTGTAAACAGACCTGAGTAATCCAGACTTTCCAGTAACCATGGTGCAGTATTTCCTAAATAAAACTTAATAGTGTTTTTTTTCACGCAAGCATCAGTCTCAGATTTTTGTAAAACTATTCTTTTAACTTTTTCTCTCTGTGCATTCCTTTTGCTGTAATGTCTCTGCTGCCCAAACAAAAAGATATATATATGTTGTCTTCTGTTTGAGGCAATGTTATAAAATCCCATTTTGGCACATAAAGGGCAAATTTGTTTATTTGTTTAACTAATCAGGCAGTCTGTTCATTAATGAATTGTGTTTCTTTCTCCAGTTTGCAATTTAAATTAGTTCCCAAGGAATCTTGTAAACAACTAAAACAAACACTAACTTCTGGGAAACAAGCACAATTTTCAGTCATGCAAGAGACTGCACAGCATTAAAACTAAAACATAAACAAAGGAAAAGATAACAAATGGGCTTCTGCTGGCTACATGTATATTACACTCTTTGTCTAGCGACTACACAGACACTACACTTGGGCCTCATGCAATTTCCTTATGCAATAATAAATGTTTGTCACTTGCCTTCTAGGATGACATTACAGGTAGTCCTCAGTTAATGACCACAATCAAGCCCAAACTTTCTGTTGTTAAGGAAGACATTTGTTAAGTGAGCTTGCCCCATTTTACAACTTTTCTTGCCACAGTTATTAAGTGAATCAGCAGTTAATAAGTTAGTAACACGGTTGTTAAATGAATCTGGCTTCCCCATTTATTTTGCTTGTCAAAACGTTGCAAAATGACCTTGGGACACAGCAATCGTCATGAGTCAGTTGCCAAGCATCTGAATTTTGGTCCCATGATAATAGGGATGCTATAAAGGTCATAAGTGTGAAAAACGGTCAGGTCACTTTTTTCAGTGCCGTTGTAACTTTGAATGGTCACTAAATGAACTTGTAAGTCAAGGACTCCCTGTATTTTTTTTAATTTCAATTGTCCAGTTTAGTGTACAGAACTGGTATTTCATGCTTGTCTTCCATCCAAGAACTCACCCAGAGAAGTCATGCTTAGTTTTTTTCATTTTTATCAAGGTTAACTAGGCACCGCCAGCAGCTGTAAATATATTGACCAAGACCAGGGGTCTTCAAACTTGGCCCTTTTATGACTTGTGGACTTCAACTCCCAGAATTCCTCAGCCAGGAATTCTGGGAGTTGAAGTCCACAAGTCATAAAAGGGCCAAGTTTGAAGACCCCTGACCAAGACTCTCAGGCTGTCATCAGGAGTTGAGATTTACTCGAAGGCATACAGAAACGGTCTATGGCACAAATAATTTCAGGCTTTTATTATGGTTGCAATCTAAAGCATATAAAACACTCTTTAATATAACTTACATAAGAAAAGTTGCCTAAATGAAGATCTTTAAAATGTGACCAAATGGCAACACTGAAAAGAAAAGAAAACAGATGAAATAAAACATTCCTTCTGTGTTGCTTTGTTCTTTACTGATAACTGAAACATTTTCTCAGGCTTTAAATTTTGAAAAACAAGTAAACTATATTTACTACCGAAGCCAATTAACTAACCAATAAAGTCTCAAAGATTGTTTCAATGAGGAAGTATTTACTTATGCTATGTATGTTGCTTTTCATCAAGCTCATCTTATTTACAGGCATTAAACCAATCCAACTATAATTTCACAGTTCCCCAATTTTAATTTTTAGATTAATATACTGGCTACTTCTTAACCCAAGGTAAGGCAAAGGATGTGCTACCTATTTTTATTAAAGTATCAGTAATTCTCCAATTGAGTTCTTTATACATTTTTGGTTGGCTATCATCTTTTTACTTTTCATCTGTCAGTACATCCAATTATTTAAATTACTATTACTTGTTCTTCAGATTTTATTCCTAAGAAGACAGTTGTAGCTACAATTACTGATTGCTTTTTTTCCCTTTATTCCAGTGTTTCTCAACCTTGACAATTTTAAGGCATGTGGACTTCAACTCCCAGAATTCCACAGCCAGCATTGCTGGCTGTGGAATTCTGGGAGTTGAAGTCCACATGCCTTAAAATTGTCAAGGTTGAGAAACACTGCTTTATTCCTTTTTATTCTCCTATTGAAAAGTTCTAGGCAACTGTTTTTCTTTCTAAATTATAGCCTACTAAAGTCTTTTATCTAGAGTTACTCTGCTAAATATATATTACTTCCCATAAGGAAAAAAATGTAGAGATGATTAAATTGACTGCTTTATTCAAAGAAAACAACTTCTAATTTTGTTTCCACTTGGAAACCACTTCTGGGTTTCATGCTTGAGGTGGAAGAACGAAACATTGATTTTCAATTTTGTGGATTAAATAGGTTTGTTGTTATAGAAATAGCTAGTATATATTACTGTGTAAAAGCAAAAATTGAGACTTTAATGCTATTATCTCCTACTTGTGCTAAAAAAAGTTGGAAGTCAATGCTTTTCTTTTCTCCTTTTACCTTATACTTTTTCCTTTTTTTCCTCTAGTTTTCCATTATTTTCATTTTCCCTATTTTATATTCTGATAAACTAATTAAACAATTGAATCAAAACACTTTACTATACACCAACTCATTAAGGGTCTTAGGTTGCCCTTATGTGCCCAATGCAATAAATGATTAGTTTAATCAAAGTTATGGAATAAATTACAATTGGCTAAATTTACATAATAATTTATAAACCAGTTTGCTAGGGCTCAGTATTTAAGAAGTTGCAATCTTGTTGACAGATGTTTCAGAAACCAATTTCAAAATGGAAATACTTGAGAACAATTTCTGCACTTCAATATCTACCTCCATAGTACAAATTCTTACTGTAACTTTTATGTGTATTAAACATATTCAATGAATTTACTGAAAGTTTCCTAGAGAATCAGTAATGAGAATGTATTCTGCTTAACCACTACTTAACCACTCTTAACCACTGCCATCACTTCCTGTAATTACCACTAATATGCTAAAACTTAATTTTAATTAATTAATCTAAGAGATGACTTGATTTGATTATCATAGATCAAATACTCTTCTTTCCATAAAAATCAGGTTGGTCCTTAGAAAATCATTCATCAGAACATACTGTAATCAATTAGCAGTGTCTATAGAAAACTAAGATTTCATCAAAATGATTGAACATGCATTATGTTAGAATGCAAGCTTTGTATTATGCATACTTCATAGTTCACATACATACCTTACATACTTCACTTACATATTGTGATGCACGTATAAAAGGTCATATTTTACCTTGTAACATTAGGAGGCACTTTTTAGCATTTAACTCCATTTCTGTCACATGGATATCCATGTCTTCAACAGAACTTTTCCAGCAGATCAATTTTTTTTAAAAAAAGGAACTAAATATTTGCAGTAATTCCATTTCCCTTGTATCTTCATTATCCATTTATCTCCATAGCCACATATCCATAACATTATTTTGATGACTGGAATCAATACATTTCTCCTTTAAAAAAGAACTCATGCTCATCCTAGGACATAATTACATGTGCAGATCAGAGAAAAGAATTGGTAATTCTCACAAACCACTTTCAACCAAGCATTGAGGCAATCAGTGTTATTGGAATACACAAAGACGCTCTGAATTTAAAGCTACAGTAAAACTTTATTGATTTAATGTGTGGCATACAATCATTGTTACATTCACTCTTTCTTGTTCACATTCCACTTACCCAACTGTCATCCAGCTAGGCTGGCCAGGGACTAACCAGAGAAATAGGAGCCACTAAATCCATACTCAACTACTCAAAAAACTGGGGTGCCCCTTTTTATCCCTATATCCTTGATTTATTGATTTGTAAATTTGGCAACTGTCAATGACATTAAGGTTTCCTTGGACTTTGTACCCAGCTTTCCTTTGTTGTCTTTTGATGGATTTTTTTTCATGGTTTTTTTTGTGTCTTAACAACTTATCTCCTTTTTATCTATTTCTGAAGGCATCTTTTGACATTTAATAATGTTTGTCCTCTCTGTGTCAAGTTAATTTTTAACTTATAGCAGCAATTGTCAGTGTTGCCCTAGTTTACACATTTGAAGCTCCCTCCTCCATGGCTTTTACAACTTTAAAGATCATTTTATTTCACAGGATCTTCAGTTTTACATAGGTTCATTGGCATCCATTTTGAAGGAAGATTGATTGAAATAACTAATTTAATACTACTTGAATTATGTTATAATTTATTGCTAGTTTAACATTTTGTAGCCCCATCCAGTTTTGCTTGAGTAGATTATAAGAACTGTAAACTAAATAAATAACTTACACCATGCATGTATGAGATAGATTGTCTTTGTTTTCCCAAAGCTATAAGCCTACACTGGGAAGTAAAGAAAAAGTATCTTCCAGAAGACAGCAGCAAGTCATTTCTGTCCTGTAACAAGAAAACAGCATGAATTTGTCCATGTAATCAACAAGAATCACACTGGATTCAACAAAACAAAAACAATGCAAAATATTGTTTTATTTATAAATAAATAAATTATTGTTTTTATATTTTAAAAAAACATCTATTATCCACATGCTATTAAATCTCCTGTGTCTTAACCTTAACTGGGTGAAATGGTGTCTTCTAGCGCAGAATTTTTTCAACCAAAGTACATCAAATGGGCTAACATTTAGAATACATCCAAAATCTGGGACCCATGTCTCCTGTGGAACTGAGATTTGGCAAATTTTATAAAACATTTTATGAAACAAAAGTTATCATAAAACATTGTATGACATAATACCAAATGCCATAAAATGTTTCCTGTGGTCAACTCCTGATGTTCGACTTGCTATACAGTTCAACACAGACTACTTTCAAGGCAAATCCATCTTTGAATATGTCACTGAATTTTTAGAAATTTTTCAGGTATATTAGAAGCTCTGCCATTATTGAAAGCACTGAGGACTCTGGTAAAAAAATAACCTCTAAAATGATGACCCAACAGGCAATAGTTTTAAAATTAAATTCTCTAATATACCATAACACAATCTGATGAGATAAATTTATGACAACCGTATAAATTTAAAAAAAATACAAAACCAACGAATATAAACCTCGAGGAGAGGGGTAGGCAACCTTGGCTCTTTTATGATTCGTGGACTTCAACTCCCAGAATTCCTGAGCCAGCCATGCTGGCTCAGGAATTCTGGGAGTTGAAGTCCACGAGTCATAAAAGAGCCAAGGTTGCCTACCCCTGCTCTAGGAAATGTAACACCACAGATCTTCCAGGAAAAAATTGGCTCTGTCAATTATGTTGACATTATTGTATTATTCCAATATCTGCTATGTTTCTTGGAAGCAGGAAACAAAAAAATAAACCAAAAAGGTGATCCCTGAGAGGAAGGTCAGGCACCCAATTATTCTCCCCCAGAAGAATAACTATCATTACAATATTTACCAAAATTGAGCAACATTATATTACATGGCATTCATGTAAACAAGGGACACATGTCTTATATATTTCTGAGACTTAAAACACCCATTTTTCCATTAATCCTATCCTAATGGCAAAACATGGAATGAAAAATTACCTTTTTGACACTAATAATATGCTCATGTCATCATTCACAACCTCTCCATCCCAAAGGTTTCTTAGCCACAAGAAAGTAGCTTGTCTGCTTCTTCCTATGAACAGGGTGGCAGTTTAGACTGAGTTCAGCGTCACAACCAGATCTTTGCTGCTAACCAGTTCTTGTTTAATTCTCTGGAGTAGATTAGCCTCTACAGCAGTGTTTCTCAACCTTGACAATTTTAAGGCATGTGGACTTCAACTCCCAGAATTCCACAGCCAGCAATGCTGGCTGTGGAATTCTGGGAGTTGAAGTCCACATGCCTTAAAATTGTCAAGGTTGAGAAACACTGCTCTACAGCATTCACCTCTAGTCTGAGTAGTACTGAGAAGTGTGGTTAATTCTAATCTGCCAAAAGAGAAAATAATTGGAATTATACATCATAAACTGTAAGTGCTTTGCTTGGTTTCAGCTAAGCATGAATTGCGAACATCAGCTTATGACTTATTCAGTTAATCAAGGTTAAAACAAATAATGGCTTCAGAAGAAGTTTGAGCCCCGTCTTTCTTTTTTATTTTATAGGATGGGCAAAAAGAGACCAAACATTACAACTAGACATCAGCCTTGTCTCATTTTCCTCTCAGTACAGGCGTAAAGGAGTAAGGGAGAATGGATCCCTTAGTATCCCTTTCTCTTCTCTAAGGTCAGGTGCAGGTGAACAAGAGAAGGCAGGAGCTTTCCTCCTCCTTCCTTTTTTCAGTCTCTGAATTAGAGATCCACCTAAAACCACAAACAAATCACTGATCACATTTGTGGGCCGTAGATAAAACTGTAAACATGATTGGGGAGGATACCATTACAATCTGAGGATCAGATCTATGTGGATCCTCATTAATTTACACAGATCCCAAGTTATTATATATGAAAGATTGAAAGCATGTTATTTTTGAAACAAATTGTGGGCATAATAATCTATACAGGTTCACAGCTAATGCTAAATCCTGATAGTTTGGGTTATTTAGATTAGAATGTAATGTGAACTTATCCAATTATGGCTTACTCACTATCTATGCATTAGTCTGTTACTCCTCCCTCCCCATGGTATTGGAGTCTTTGCTAGATAATCCTAGTGAATCTAAGTCTTGAATCAATGCTATTACTGTATTCTGTGGCATTGTAGGGACAACTGATGGCCCTGTTTAAATTCCTAAATTTAATTATGATATTCAGGTTACAGGTAGTCCTCGACTTACAACCACAATTTAGCCCAACATTTCTGTTGCTAAGTGAGACATTTGTTAAGTGAGTTTTGCCCCATTTTACAACCTTTCTTGCCTCCCTTACCGTGGCAGTTTTAAGTTGGTAACACAGCTGTGAATCTGGCTTCCCCATTGACTTTGCTTACCAGAAGGCTGTAAAAGATGTTCACATGACCCCTGAACACTGCAATGATCATAAATAAGAGTCAGTTGCCAAGTTTGAATTTTGATCATGTGATCATGAGGAGACTGCAACGGTTGTTAAATGCAAAAAAGAGCCATAAGTACCTTTTTTTCAGTGCCACTGTAACTTCAAACAGGCACTAAACCAATTGTTGTAAGTCGAGGATTACCTATGCTATCAAAAAGAGCCAGATTTGTGATGTTACTCCTCATTCATCCTATTCATGCAAAAGTAAGGTAATCTTAAAAAAAAAATAATACCTAGACATTCTTCTGCCTCCCCCCCCCAATCTCTTATTTAACGTCTGCCGTTACGGAGCTCAATCCTATACTCTTCATTTAAATCGAGGTTTGTCTTTCTATTTCCTTATTCACCCAGCAGTTAATCATACTTTCTTGTGAGTAACGGAGAACTTGCTGCGCGCGGTTCTGCAGTTAACTTACTCGCTCTCTCTCCGCTTCTAACTTTTCCGTCGCCCAGGCGAGGTCATCCCGCGGCTGAAACTCCGAAGCAGCAGCAGCAGGAGCTGCGGCGTTTCCAGCGGCAGCGGGACATGTTGTATTTCGTCCGAGGAAGGGGAAGGGCTGGGTCCCCCGGGTTCAAACTTCAAACAGGTTCCTGCTCCTGTTCTTTTGGCGGCAGCCGTCAGGGCAGGGTTTGGTGTGTAACACTTTTCCCAACGTGCTGGAACTCGTTTCCACGCCCGTCCCTGCCCACAATGCTCCCGAGAGAGGGAAGGGCGGGAAATACCTGGGAGGAAGACGGAAAAGTGTCCCGACTTGAAGCTCTCAGCACTTTTTCCAACAGACCCGGGTGGTTTTAGCAGCCGGGCGGCGGGAAGAGCTCGGGGGATCCTCGCGTTAAGTAAGTTGGGGTGGGGGTGGGGAGATGCGGTGCGTCCCGTCGGCTTTCCATCGCACTGCGAGGGGGGAGGCTTTCGGCAGGCCGGCCGGCGGAAATTCCCGCTTTGCATTAGCCCCAGCCGACACCCTGCTGTGATGTTGTTATTGTGGGTGGCTTCGTTTCTACGCTCTGTGTCGCGGAGAAGGGCTGGAGGGAGGCTTCTTTCGCCGCCCTCCCCTCTCTCCCTCCCTCTCTCTCTTCTAAGGGCGGAAAGGTGGACGACTCCGATTGCCAGGCTTGGGATGCCAAGCCAGGGTTGCGGGGGGGGGGGGAGAATGCGTGTAGCTGGAGTTTGGGGTTAAAAAAGGAGAAAAGTGTGCGGAGGGGGGGAAATAAGGGGGGGTTGTTCTAGTTTGGAATGAAGAAGAGGCAAAGAATGAATCATGTGAGGGTTATTTGAGGCTGTCCTGAGAGGGGGAGCTTTGCTGGCGGGAAACGCGGGATGGTATCCTTCAAAGTCACGTCATAATGTGGCAAATTAGGCGAGAGGGGAAGGGGAAATGGTTCCGCAGGTTCGAATTATTGGTAGGTAAACAAAAGGAAAGAAGGAAGACGACGCGGAGGCCTTAAGAGGCCAAATAAACTGGCCAAAACTTTTGCGTGACTGGAAGGTTCCCTCAGCGAAGGCAACCGCGAGTGTTAACTTTAGACAGAATCTGGCCACCTCTTTCTTCGCCTCCCACGGACGGTTGAGGAAAAAGCAGATAAAAGCTATGAGGATAGTCGTTTCCACAGATTTCTATTACTTTTCCTAAGGAGATTTTCGGACCGCTTTGTGATATTTGAATTTAAAAAAAAAAAAAAATTGGCTGTGTTTCGAATTCTTCTTGTGCCATATCCGAAGATGAAACTTGAAGGAATGAAGGCCGTTTCGGGTTGAAATTCTGTGCAGGTTTATTTACCTTCTAAGACAGCAGTTGGTTTTGCCTCCAATTTCATATTGGGAAGGGAGGGTTTTTAAAGCTCCTTTTCTCTCCTTGCAGCTCTTTTGCCCTACTAGAGTTCTCTCCTTCCCCCCCCCCCCAAGTGTGACTAAGGAAAATTCATACCATCTAATGAAAAGATAAGGGAAATACCTAAATGAGACGGTATAGCGCTTTTCAACTAGGCTTCCTTTTTGCTTTCAAAATTAGACTCATCACGTGATAGCACAGTAAGGTTTTGAGTCATGCATCTGCCACTGAGCTTAATATATGAAAGGAAGGATTTTATTTATTAAATTTATATGCTGCCCATCTCAAGCAATTCTGGGCGGCTTACAATAACATAAATAATAGAATAAAACAATTACAGGATTTAAACATTAAAACCTCAGACATTAAAGTTAAAACATGAAAATTAATATTAAATGGAATAGAAATCTAAGCATTGAATATACTCCCAATACAGCACTATTTCCAAAATACTTGTCATTTAAAATCTTTATTTTAAAATCATTTCATGATAGGATGAGGTATTTCAATTTATGATCAACATTATTTTACTTTTTGGGTGTACTAGGAAAGATTGCAAATTAGTTAAATTGATGACTTCTGGTGGTGAGTATAGAACCCTGACAAATTGGGCTGTACAAGATGGTAATTACATTTTCTATCTTTTATACATTTTGGCCATCTTGAATTAACACTTCTAGAAATTGCTCCATTTTATTCTTGTGTCTTTTGTAACTGTTTTATTTATATATTTTTAAATGACATAACCTAGATATTTATATTATGAGAAGCTGAAACATTCCTTAAAGATTATGAAAGAAATAAACGGATCAAGGTACTTTTTCTCTCAAGCAGCATATTTACTACTTAGGGAAGAAAACTCAGGATCAAAAAAAAAGATGTCTTCCTTCATTGAGGCCTTCACAGTTTAGAATATTGTATACCAATGAGGAAACTAGACAAGAACTTTTTACTGTATCTCAAATATCCTCTCTTGGAGCCAAGTAATAATAATATTCTTATTAAAATTCTATTTTATTCATCTGTAAGAGTTGTATGTGGTAGTAATCATCTAAACCAGTGGTTCTCAACCTTTTTAATGCCGCGACCCCCAACTGGTCGTAAGTTGAGGACTACTCAACCGGTCGTAAGTTGAGGATTACTCAACTGGTGCAGCACCGTTTGCAGAATGGGACTTTTGGCGGGCTCAGCAGGGCAGAGACAGCCTGGACAATTCCTATTGGCTTTTGAAAGCCAATAGAATTAGACTCTATTCAAGAGAGTCTATTCTATTGGCTTTCAAAAGCCAATAGAATAAAAGGGAGTAGCACAGCTAAGGAAAAGGGGGGAAAAATGGCGGACTGCATTGTTTGGCGACCCCCGTGAAATGGTCGTTCGACCCCAAATGGGGTCCCGACCCACAGGTTGAGAACCATTGATCTAAACACATACTTGTACTGTATATAGCACAAAAGTTACAGGAAACTAGACGAGATCTGTTAGTGGACTGCAATTCAGGCTGTTTACAATTTGCTTATTTTAGCAAAAGTTTGAGACAGAAATTTTAATATGTTTTATTGAAAGCTTTTCTTGGGGTTCATTGGAAAAATATCAAAAGATAAAATACACCCTAGCAAAAGATTAATATATTTCTATTACATAGCTAAAATTATGAGAAATTAGAGAATTTTTTTTCTTTCTGTTGTAACTATTTAATGTAACGGATACAAGGGCCTATATAGCTATATGCATTTGTGTATATGTGTGTATGTGGAACTGCTTTGCCAAACTCCCAGCTTCACACCCATTAATTGAAGTAGTTTATTCATGAAGGGTGGGGGTGATGAAAATAAATGACAGGATTAATTATTGCACATTTCAAAGCAAGATACAGTAATCACCAGCCAAGGCCATACATAGTAGTTCTTTATAGAATAGAAATCTTTAATTGTAATGAATCATGAAAGAGAAAGGGATTTCTGGGGAACACAGTGTTTCAACAGGCTGTTTAATATTTGCATTCATGTCATCCACAAACAATGATTGAAGTATAGGTAACGGTTCAATGTAAAGGATGAGAAATTGTATTTTAAATTGCCTAAAACTGCCCAAAAAAAGTTTTGTCACAGGTGGGATATAAAGTTTTTAATTAGCCATTATTCTAACAAAATTCAGTTTGGGTAATGTGAAAGATATGGATTATTTTATTGTTCAAGTTTAGATGAATTTATTTTACTCCCCAGTGTACATCTTTGTAATTACGTTACAAATCTTTTTGTAACGTTTTGGTCATTTACAATGTAGTGTTATCTCAGAAGGTTTGAGATCAGTTTTAAATCATCCTGTATAGCAGCTGTTGTTTGTAGACCAAGCCAAATATTTTGTGCACATCTCACTATCAAGTGATTTTATGTCCTTGGTGAACTAGTATTATTTATATATATACATATACACACACACACACACACACACACACACACACACACACACATATATATCGTTATGGGGAATTATAGTATTTCTTACTGCAAATTAGTGATTCTATCACTGATTAATATTATTGCTGACTTCACACATAAATTCTAAAATAGGTTATTTTTAAAACACTTTTAATTTAGCAAACCATAGTAGCTTGATTACCCTATGTTAAGGCAGAATAGGTTGGTACAAAATTGAGGCTAAACTAAACTAATTTATACAGTGCCTTAGTGTTGTATGAGAAAAAAGACCCTTAACTGGATTCGATAGTAGCTGGAACTCTCAGTGATCTTCATGGAGAGCCCAACATGCAGCATGTTACACTAATAATATACTGATATTCTGAGATATAAAAGTATAGAGTTTTGCTTTTCAAGTAATTCACAAAAACTACACTTCAAACTATTGTTACATGAAAGCAATGTGATGTGCATTATCACACACTTTTTAAAATTCAATTTCAGTTTATTCACTTGTAATAATATTTGAATGATAAGCAGAAAATCTTAAAATCATAATATGAGAGCTATTACAGATTATCTTTAAGTAACTTTTCTATATATGAATTAAGGTTTAGGTTAAAGGAAATCTTGAAAGCCCTTGTTGAGATTCATTGGAATCTCTTTTACCAAATCTACCACTTACTCCTGTATGTGTAGTCCTTGCTTAAGGACCAGTTGCTTAGCGACTGTTCGAAGTTACAATAGACACCCCTGAAAGGTACTTACGACCTGGATCCAGAGTTCTGATGGCAGTACACCCCACCTGTGGTTATATTACTGCATTTCTACAGCCATCTGCAGCATTCTGCATATGATGCAATTTACAACTTTTTTTTGCCAGAAACAGACCTTTCCAGCAGTTTCCAACAAAAAATGCCCATAGAAATACACTGACTCTCTTAATGACCACCACATTTGCTTAACAACAATCGCAAAAAAAGTTGGTAAAATTGGGTCAGTCATATGAGTGCCATATCTTTTGACTGGCATGAATTACAATGGAAATTCCACGCTCCATTACAGTCATTAGTTGAGGACTACCTATACTTAAAGGTCTTGAAGTGACAAATCACTAATTCTAGTGATTAGTCTAATTGAATTTTAATTGCCCTGAATCATAATGACAGTGATATCTGTTAGCTGCCTTAAGCATGCTAAAGATATAAATTTAAAATAATAAAGTATATATTATCATTGTGCTTAAATGCCACAGTTATAAAAACAATACCTAGTAGTAATTAGGTCTGTTCATTAGTTTAGGTTC